TGTTTTTGGTTTTTTTTTTTTTTTTTTACTCATCAGGTGACAGATATTAAAAAAACCTGCTAAACTACTGCTTAATAGTATTTAAGCCGTTCTTGCTATTCGTAGAAACATCTCAAAAGACTTTGTTTTTAACTTGGAGTGGTGAGTCATTGTATGACTGTTATTCCAGCTGTGCAGCAGCCTTCTCACCAACACAGCCACAGATGGTAATTAGAGCTTAATTAAACTAAACTTGAGAACACTTGTTAAGTTCATACTGTGGGAGGAAACAATCTTCAGAAATAGGCTTCTCTTCTACTTTTCATCACATTCAGTTCATCTTTCTTCACTTTGTGTCCCCGTTCCTCATCAGTACTGACAAAATTTCAGATTACAGGAAGCATGACTAGGTAAGAGTTGTGGTGGAATACACTTGAAGGTGTCATTCTATTTTTTCTTTTTTGTTTGTTTTTTAACAGTCCATGTATGGATTATAGTATTAGATTAAAAGTCTTTTTCTTTAAAGTATTATTTCATCTGGTTTTAGTTCTTGATGTTTTGAAAGTCATTCTGTTTTGAATGCTTCCAACTACATAAGAACATCATTCAGGATTCCGAGTAGAGTGACTAGTATGAGAAATGCTGTTTTGATCAAACTGCTGTTAACTCTAAGGGGTAGATTTGGGTTTGGACTCTGTTCCCCATTGCTGGGAGCAGGGGCAGGAGGAGATGGAGCTAAAATGGAGGATGTGTGTTGAACCAGTCACTGAAAAGTTTACTGGGCGCAGCCCTCTGTTACCTGCACTTTGCAGTTGTAATTATTTCTAAGGCTGATTTTTGAGGACCAAAGCTCTTGTGTCTTATTTTATTTGCTTGCAGATGTAACTCCCTTCTTGGGAGTGCTTTGCAAAAATAATCTTGGCTTGGGAGGATTGAGCCTTATCTTGAAGAAAACAGAATGGGTCAGGTGAACCTGTATTTTTTTATTTTTTTTCCCCATGCAGTTAAGTGTAATTTAGTGTTTTTCCCTTGGAGCTGAGGATGGCAAGTTGATAATTTCAACAACACAGCTGCAAGAAAAACAACCAACCTGGAGGGGGAGTTAAAACTTCCTCCCCCTGCAGTCAGTTTAGTTTCCCCTCAGGTGCTGATGCTTTAGTGAGAGAAGAGGGGAAAACAAAAGCCCCGTGATTCCAGGCAGGGAAACGGCTGCTCCCGCCCGGCGCCGGGCCCGACACCCCCCTCCCCGGAGCCGCCCGCGGTTTTGTGAGGGGAAAACGGGGCTGCGAGTGCTGCTTGGGCCCGCCCCGCTGGGAGCTCGGGGCTCAGGAGGTGAGCCAAGGGAGCGGCCAGTCCCTCTGCCTCAGGGCGGTGAGCAGCTCTGAGGGAGGAACCGAGGCTGCCACGGTGAGCCTTGAAATAAAAGGGGAGGGGAAAAAGGAAATTAAATTATTGATAATTAGTGTAGAAATGAAATTATTTGCTTAGTGCTGTGTTTTGGGCTGCTGGTCTTGGAAGCAGGCAGGTGCAAGCGGTGGAGGAGGAAGCGAGATGGTGCCTGGGGCTGAGGGAAGTGCTGCTTGCCATGTCGGGGGCAGTTAATTAGGGTGGGTTGCTCCACTTTACAAAGTTGTAGGGGATTCCTCTGTTTGAGGAAGAGTTGGTGGGAGTGTTTTTACTGCTAGGCTTGGATTAAAAATCGTTGAGAAAATAAGGGCTGGCAAGTGACATCAGTTTCATTCTCCTTGTTCTTGGTTTTTGAAAGTCTTAAATGATAAATTTCTGCCGAATAAAGGGCAAAAAGAAACAGTAGTGATAGCAGAGCTTGGTAAGAACAGGAGTATCAGCTGAACAAAGCCAGCAGTTCTCTCAGCCCCCTCAGACTGGGGAGAATCAGAGTGTAATTAGGGCCACGGCCAGGAGAAATGCACGCTGAGATGGTCACTGGTTGGTGTGGTCAGGTATTTACTTTAAAGTAGCATGTCTTAACACATTAGTCATGTCATTAACTATACTTTCCCAACAGTGTTTGCAGGACATAGCTTACCATGCCTTTTAAAGCACGGAAGCACCAGAAGCTCTTCAGACTCTGAAAATTAGCCATTTCTGGTGTCAGGCATACTGGTTTTGGCTGGGATAGTTGAGGTTCCTCACAGTAGCCTGTATGGGACTGTGTTTTGGGTTTGTGATGCCATCTGTTGCTAGCACAGGAGCATTTCAGGTGCTGCTGAGCAGCATCTGCACAACATCCAGCCTTTCTTGTCTCTCCTGCTGCCCCACTGGGGACAGCTGACCCAAGGGTTATCCCACAGCAGCCGTACTGCTCAGCCAGAAGCTCTGGGGGACAAAGGAGGAGGGGAGGCACTCAGAGTTGTGCTGTTTGTCTTCTCAAGTCACTGTTCAGTGTGATGGAGCCTTGCTGTCCTGAGATGGCCAAAGACCTGCCTGCCAATTGGCAGGAGAGAGCAAATGCTGAGGTTTGCATTGCTTGTGTGCATAGCTCTTGCCTTGGCTGCTGAAGTCTCTCAACTCACAAGTTTTCTCTCTTCTACCCTTCCGATTCTCTTCCCCATCTCACTTGGGGGGGGGAGGGGGCTTGTGAGCAGCTGTGTGGTGTTGAGCTAAGACAATGCCAATTAATGTAAGGTCTTTTTCTTTTTTATATGGCTGGCCAGAGACCGTGAGAGTTTCTCTTCCTTGTTCGTAGTATGCTTAATTTTAACCAAGGCTGTTTCTGCCTGTGTTACCAAGTTTCTAGTATCTTCTAGAACTCCAGGTTACAGAATGAAACAGAATTCAGTGATGGTAATTCTTCCTGACCTTCATGTTATCTCCAGTTGGCCTAAATGATGTTTTTGGGGTACAGTTGCTGAAAATCATCTGCAGGCAGTAGCAGAACTAAGACCAACACTTGCCTTGGTGTAATTCCCATGAAGCGAAACAAGGCCTCCTTGCATTTCCTCAATCATGACATCAAAATCAACTCTAGGTTTGTAACACTTGTGTTCTGTCCACTTGTTTTGACTGAGCTTTGTTAACTTTGGAAACTTCCTGCCTGCCTCACATAATGTGTGTTTAATTGTATCATGTAACATGAAACTGGTTCAGGGAACTGAAACCTTTTATTTTCTGTCAGCTTGCTTAAAACCTCATTAGTGAAGTCATGTAAGAAAGAACTACAAATCATTCCTTTTGCAGTAGAAGTGCTCAGAACACATCAGTTAAAGATGACTTGGGTTTCATTTTGCTAATAAAAATATAGTGGTGTTGCTAGAAGGAAAAAAACAACCCCAAACCCACAGGTAAACCACCACCCTCCCTCTCCTAATGCAGTCTCTTGGTAGATGAGATGCTCCAAGTTCACAGGCATATAGGTACACTGGATCTGTGACAGATGATGAAGCTATTTATCTTTACAGAATAGATTTCATTTCTGTGACAAAAACGACATTAACAACTTACCAGGTTCGTGGTACTTCCTAAAGAAAAAGTGATGCTTTTTTTTAGTAAGGATTTAAAAGCATTTTATTGATTGTTGTCCTATAAAATCATACAAGTCTTTAATTCCTGAAGAATGTGTCCAATAGGAAAAAAATGAAAAGTATCTTTAAAAAACATAACAGCATTTTTTTAAAAACTCGGTATGAAAAATATATACACAATGTATTAAAAAATCTGAATAAAATTAATGTCTGAATTTATACATTCAGTTATGTGTTAAAACATCTGCCTGTGTACAATAAAATTTGTTAACATATCAGCAGTATTTTTACTATGTTAAATAAGTCTTTGTTCAATTTACAGGTCCATTACTATTTTATCAGTCTACTTATAACTTAATTTACAAGGCTGTATAACCTAAAGGTAAGTGTTTTTGTACAGAACTGTTGCCTTAATTTGTTTTAAATGGTTACAGAGATACATCTTTATAAACATCCAATTTGTTCACAAATCAACATATTACAGTATATAAAACGTACAGCCCCTTTGAAAAAGATGGGGAATAACTACAGCAACCCAGAAAGACTGTGGTATAAAGTTTACCCTCATGTGTGCTACCCTGCCAAGTTAGCAGCTGGTCTTTGAAAAGGTGAAGATGTTTATATCATGCAGTCACACCTAGATAGAGAATGGATGCACTGGACTCTACCTCATTTTGGAGTGCATTCTCTTCACACAACACTAAGTGGTTGGTTTTCTCTTTGTCAAATTCCAAAGATAAAATGCAGATGCCACGATGCTGTGGGTGGGTGTAGTGCAATTGTAAGGAGGCTCCTCTAAAGCAGAGGAGAGCATGTGAAGCAGCACCAGTTGGAGCTCCTCTGAACTGTGTGGGGTTAAACACGCCCCCCATGCGAGTGCCAAGCTGAGCACTTACTGGGCTTACTCCTGGAGCCTCAGCCTTGCCAAGATCCATCAGAGATCCAATTCCTCCGAAGGCCCGGGCCACCCCTGGACGTGTGCTGGAGGTAGTCCTCTGAGTTACAGGGTTGGGTCTCCTAGTTCAGGTTACACACGGGTTTTGACACAATTGGAATGCATCCCATTCAACTCTGTGGTACTGGGACTGCAACACTGGAGGTTCTGCAGAGCAGGAATCCCCGATACTGCCCCTCAGCTCAATGGACTGGATGAGGCTCTGGGGTTCAGTCGCCTGTGCTGACTGCTACATCCAGTTCTGCTTCTGAGCCAAAGTCAAAATGCTCAAAAGCAGATAATACACAAAGAGGGAGAGACAGAGGAACCAGAGTTGCAACTGAGATTTGAGGCAAAACGACACATGGCTCATCTCCAGTGGCTAAGAAACTACTTCTAGTTGAAACTGCCTAATGCTCAAACCAGGCTTCAGGCCAGAGCTCTCAAAACACAGGAAAGGCGCAAGTGGCAGGAACGTCATTGTGCTGCTCACCAGGCGGGTCACGCTGGTGTCCCACAGCTTCCATGCAAGAGCCGTGGGGCAAGCGGCCGTGCCCCAGAACAGCAGCTAGTGCAAAGCCTGTCGTGTGCCAAGAAGCAGCCAGCTACACGTTGGTTTCGAGTCCGAGTAAGCGTCCCATCCGCTCCATGTTCTTGTCAATGGTGGCACGACAGGTGATTTCTTTAGCACACTCCATGGGGAACCAGCCCCTTTCGCCATCCCGCAGCCGTTCCCCTTCGTACCAACCTGCCAGGGAGACCAGACAGGGAGTGACAAGCCTCAGCAAGTCATGTGTGACCTGGAGCCGTGTGCATGTCACATGGGAGAACACGCAGCTGGCATTGTCACCACACACAGCACACATCCACCTCTGCAGTCAGTAGAGACCAAAGGGGCTCTTTTATACAGACAGACTAGGAACAAAATAGTATGTAAAAATAAATACTGTAGGAAACAGGCTTAATATTGTACTGTAATCCAAGCACAGTTTGAAATAATATAGATATATCACTGCAATATAAGCAATGCAGCACAATTTGATTCCCTATGTAATAGTGGGTAACACCAAGTTAGGATTTGGCAGTCCCAGCACTGACCCATCCCTTGCACATCCAGGCAAGAGCCTGTCTTGATCTCAGGGTACTTGCTGATGTGGAGAGCTCAGGCAACGCCACTGTGCTAGGGCCTCTGGTGTCTGGGTCATGCAGCACGGACCAGGACACAACTAATACCATGCCTGTTTCTCTTGGACAACCCTGGTGCTTGCTCACTACAGTGGCTGAGCTCCCTGGTTTTAGGCAGAAGTCAGTTTCTTAATCTGTGGCCATTTCACATCCAAAACCAGCCAGGACACCCTTTCTGCAGCTAGTTCTCTGCACCGGTGATGACCGGCAATGAGTTACTATCTGTGGTCTGAACAGAGGCTGTCTGCTAGAAACCTGTCCCAAACACTAAAGCTTTAATCCAAAAAAATATAAACCATGGCCAAGGCTGTTAGGAAATTAACTTTGCTATCTGGATTCACGCACAGTGGTGACAAAAATTCTCACTCACCATCATTTACTTTTTGATAAACCAAAACAACATCAGCAACTTGAAGAGAGAGTTCATCCGACTGCTTTGCTGTGTAAGTTCTGATGATCTCTACCTGAGTCAAAGCTATGGAAGAAATAAGCCAGGCTGAATTAAACGATTCACAGAACAGAAGACCTTCTGTTATCATACAGACAGAGCTTACACTATTGCACAGCCTACACCTGCTCCCATCCCCACTAAGGGGCAGTGTGTTTCCACTCTCCCGCCAAAGCCCCCAGAAATCTTGCCAGTTGTAACTTACTCGTCCTGTCCGTTGTCTGCCCGTCTCTGTCCCATCCAAGCGCTGTGATCCAGCGAGCTCGGTCACTCCTGCAAACAGCAAAGCTGAAACTCAGGCTCTTGGTAACCAACAAGAACCACTCCCCTGTTCAAGAGTCTGCATTTAAATTTTTGCTCTTCCTCATTGTGTAAAGAAATCAAAACAAAACTTCCTTTCTCCTCCTCTCAAAATATGGCCAGAAGGTGCAATACTACTCCTAGTAATATATTATTCAAACATATTTAACTATTTTAAGCTGTCTGGATTAGGGAAAAAAAAAAATCTATGAACCTGAGATGCGATGTCTTACATACCTTTATTGTTATTTTTCAGTAATGCAGTAACTCCACTACTGTCTGCGACTAATACTTGTTAGTACTCTTACTTAACACATCTACAATACAAAGCATCTGGTAAATACAAATAGCAGTTCTAATCTACAACACCAACAGGTTTCCTATGAGTAAGAACTATCTGCAACGTGCACTTGGAATAAAAAGCAAAAATAAATTTAAAAAAGACACCAGAGTTTCTCAGAGCTCTCGAAAGGACACAAATATTTATGTTTCCAGATGTGTTGGTTTGTGAACTTGGAGCCAGCACCAATAAGCAAGGACAACAAAGGCTTGAACTGACTCCCATCCTGTATGACCCCGGAAAAATGGCATCCATGTCAGGTTACACACATTTCTGAGGAGAACAGAGAGAACTGTCTGGATTCTAAGTAATACAGTAAATACATTTACAGTAAATCACACAAGTGCAAATTCCTGACAACTGATTTTGGAGGGGAGAAACAGCTACCCGTGAGTCACTCCTGGTAATGGCTCAGCTCTAACAACCCAGCATTAGAACTCTGAATGGTGGCAAATCTAAATTTGAATGTGGTTCCCAAAGCATTTTGGTGAAGTTCTGGTTGCTGAAGGGTTTTGCTGTCAGCACAGGTTACAGTAACACAAAGGAGCTGCAGGGTTCCATTTTCCTATTCCCCCTCCCCTAAAGACATACTTATTGCAATCTTTGGATGACTTCAGTGTCTGGAAATAATTAAAACCATCTGCCTTCTGATTATTTTGAATATAAAAATTTGTATGGGGCTTTCGGCATGTACATTTCTGCATGAGACATTTAAAGTCTCATCACACTGTTCCTCGAAGAGAAAACTACTGCAAGTGTCCTACTAAGACTGGATACCCATGGATCTCACACAGCTGGCCAAAACTACAACACGTGCTACTACAGACATTTCACTGACTAGAAGTAGGTGGTACTAAACTTGTTATGTTTCAACCAAAATAAGAAAGTACGTACACAATTCTGCATAAGCTTCATTAACTTTGTGCCTTTTTAGTTGTCTGGTTTGGGGTTTTGGGTTTTTCAGAAACAGATGTTATTTAGTTTCATACTTTCCCTTAACCATTCTTTACAGGAAAACTACTCCTCCTTTCAGAACCTCCGAGAAAAACAGGATGCTGCCAGACTGTTTCCCAGTTACAGGGCGTATTTCTTCATCATCGGCATGTACCGTGTATTTTGTGCCTTATTCACAGGCTGGTATAAAGCTCCTGACCTGACGCTGGTAGTTTTGTACCTGGGAACCACACGCCCCATGAAGTGACAAAATGCTGAAGTTTGACACATGCCAGTGCTATTCCAAACACACTCCAGACTGCCCCACTTGGCATTCTTGTTGTAGACTCCTCTCCCAGCCTCCTCAAAGTTAAGACAAAGTTAAGTTTTTCTATATACATGGTAGCGTGCTTATCAAAACAGGTAATTTTCAAATAAAGTAACTCTTTTCAGAATTCTTTTCCCCTGATTGACTGCTATTTATATTACAGTGTAGAGAAAATCAATAATAAATATGCACAACAAAATGTCTTTTCATAAAAAGCCCAGACAACTAAAAACGTATTGCATTTTTTTTCCTAATAGAAAATGCATTTCCAAACAAGTTTGAATCATCTGCTTGCTTTATAATGAGATCTTTAATAGAAATTATTAGTGATCTATAGTTTCTTTCAGGGTTATTCTAAACTTTGAAAGCAACCTAAAACTGTAAATTCTTCCAGGCTGGGGAGCGTCTGGAGCACTCTGTTCCTGTCTCCTGTCCCGCCTCCAGCTCCCACTGAAACAGATAAAATCTTTCACTTCTGTGAGGGGCTGTGTGGAAGTTCCTGGCACCACAGAGGAGTGACGGCCCCTCGGATATCTGCACCCCAAAGAACAAGACACTTCTTGTTGCTGGTTTCTAAAGCAGAACGCTCTTCAAACTGTGCCAGGAGAACAAGGGCCAGCTCTCTGCAGCACAGCTCCACAGCCTCCCTGGCAGCGCCCAGCTCCTCATCCCAACGAGCCCAGAGCCTTCCCTCCTGCACCGCCCCTCGTGACAATCCCACTGCCGCCAGGCCTCGGCCTTCCTCCAGCTCAGATCACGCGACGCAGGCACACAGCAAGGTCTAAGTACCACGCTGCTCAAAAAGCTGACAACAAGGGCGAGATACTTTAAAACAACGAGCAACAAGCCAGCAAGGAAAGCATCACAAACAGAGCAAGCTTAAAGTAATTGCTGCGGTCGAGTTTGGCACTCGCCCTCTGGACGTGAGGACTCTTGGCCAAAAGCGCCATGTTAGCAGGTGAGCTGGGTGCATGACCTGCTCTGGAGCTCCAGTTCTCAGGAGGTATTTAGGACAAATAACGCACAGTCCTCACACCACAACAAAAATCAGTGATGACTCAGGGCCTGAAGTGTCTCGTGTAGTTCAAACTAAACAGTAAGAAATATCCATATAGCAACAAGCAGCCTTTAGATTGGGTAGTTTACTGAACAGCTGGATTATGTGGCATAACTTTGATTTCTTCTATTTACTCTGATGTCACTTCTGTTGAAAATAAATTAAATGGAAATCCCCTCCACAATTGCCCAAGAAATCCAAACTGCTGAGCTCTCTGTCCCGCAGCCCTTTCTCGTTTACCTGACCAGTAACACTTCCAAGGGACTCGGTAGTCCCTGGCTAGGGAGCTGGCCATCTCCAAGGCAGAGGCAGAGATAACTCACCATGTACTCCAGTATCTAGGGACATATCGCATGAGCTGCATATCCTCCTGCTCTGCCACTTGTTAAAAAAGCAGAGAAGCTTGGTTGGGTCACCTTGCCCTGCTTCGGGCGTCTCCACTGACAACACAAGTGGCACTCACCCCAGCAGCTGGCAGGTGGCACTGGGAGCGCGGCAGTGTCCTGAGCGGGGCACCAGCACCGTCCACCACCCACAGAGTAGGGTTCCATTTTGAGCTGGGCTTCCCAGATTGAAGCCGGGCACTTGGCACTAGCCTGACGGGGGCGGGGAGCAGAGAAACGACACAACTGGTGACTACTTACAGCGTCTCTGATCCCAGGAGCATCTCCACCCTCTCCCCCGCGTGGTTGCTGAGGACCTCCAGCCGGAAGATGTGAGCGGCAGAGCTCTGCCGCGAGGACAGCATCGTCGAAGCATTCTTCACCGGAGAAGAAGTCAGGTCTTCGCTGTCGCACTGTTGTACCACCAGCTGGTCCCTCAAAGAATAGTCTGTGACATTATAACTCTCTTCACTGCAGAGCAAAGATTGGAAGAAAATAACCACAAGTTGAGTTTTCCATTAACTATGTCTGGAAGCAAACTCAGAGAACCCACCTTTAAGTATGTGGTATGGCACAATTCTTCTGACACCTCAGAGCCTAATCTTTTCTCTTTATTTGGGTTTGAAACCACCAGTTTTCCAAGATATAATGTAGATCGGCTTTTAAACCCTGTGAAATTTCATTTAGTTGCACAGTTAAATGACTGTGGAGTTCTTGAGATGGTGTAAGCTCAACAGAACTCCATTAACTTTAAGAACAGGTCCAGTAGTTGTGCAGAACTGCATTTTGTTCTTCTGTAGCTTCAGATGAACAGATCTTAGACTGTTACAGAAAAAAAAAAAAAAAAAAATTCCCTTTTTCTGTGCCTGTAGAACTGTGGGTATGTAACTGCTTCCAGACAAACACTACTGCCTGCAGTTTAAATACAGGATCCTCACCTCTACTCCTCATCATTCCAGATGCAGCGGTCCAAGAAAAAGTTTTTTAGTCCAAAAACTATCTTAAAACATTCTGAAATGTAACCTTAGTTAATTGTGAATTTTAAAAACAGGCAAAGGGTTGTCACACACCGCTGGCCTTGCAGAACGCACTGGGCAACTTGGAAAGTGCTCTGTAAATACACCAACTCCCAGTCACAGAGCAAAGGTTGCTACATGTGCTTAGTAACTTCCCAAGAATGAATAGACAGAATTCTAAGAAATGCTGCAAGTCAGCAGCTTTACTTTCCTTATGGTTGAAATTTTGGTGTGAGGTGGACAAAGCATTGGACATCGCAAGTTGGGACATAAAAGCATTACTGAATAAAACACTCTGCCCTCCACAGCAGCCTTCTATTTCTAAACATGAGCATCACTTCAGTCACCTAGACCTTCCCAAGAGGTGATCACATGGCAGAGGCAGGGAACACCCCCTCCTTCAATCCATTCCCGAGTATTTACAGCACGTGCTTCACCTACTCGGCTCCCAGGCATCCTGGGCAGTGTCCTTCAGCACTCCAATGCGAGCTCAGCCAGCCACCCTCTCTATCAGTTTTGTTACTTACTCAGACCAAGGCAATACTGGAAACATTTTTTTCCAGTGGAAAAAAACTGCACTTGCAAATTTTTAAAGTTGCGAAACCTAGTTAAAGAAACAGTTAAAAGAATCTCCACCTCCTCCTCAAGAGCTAGCAACAGATCACTGGAGAAGCAGCTCTAAAGCTGTTGTTCCCACCGCAGCTTGTGAGCGCGTTTCCCAGAATTGTCTTACGTGCATTTGCAAGTTTACCAGGATGTCTCTGAACCCACAACACCGATCAATTGATGACCTCATTCCATGCAAGCTTGTAAACTCTTCAGATTTATTGATCTACACCGGTGCAGCAAGAGGAGACAGAGAAGCCCCGTTTAGCTCAACATGAAGGCAGCTGAGCCTCCAAGAGCACGCGGTGCTCTGTCCGACCCTGCAGGAAATCAGACACACCACACCTTAGGGTGCAACCACAGGTACCCCGTCCCCAAGTAACAGCTATGCAGACCCCAGTCTCAGGCACTAGGAAGTTGTGCTAGAGTCTCAGATGACTATGGTTCATTAAAATAACTTGAAAAAATACTTGAGAAGATTAATTTTGCTGCCAGAGACAAAGAGCAGCCTGAGCAGTGAAGTGGACAAATGGGATCCCAGCAGCCCCTGGTGCTGCAGTCCCCACGCCGGCACGGCCAGGGGATGCGGATTCCTCCTTCACGGGTGCTTAAACAGGGTAACAAAATGAGAGCTGATGACTTCATGTCTGCCTGGATATGGTCTACGCATTTAGTGAACTGTCAGAAAAACACCTGTGAACACACCTCAGTAGTTAATATAATGGTCTTTATAATTCTTTTTTGTAGTCCTTCAGATAAAGATTTGCTAAAAAACAACTGAGCAATATTATGACTCAGAACATAAATTATCCCTGATTTCTGTGATTAGAAGCATTAGAAGAATCTCTTTATTCTCCAAGCGACAAGGGGTTTACAGATTATATGTTGCATTTGTGGATTTTTGTGGAGTAAATTTCTGCGAGGGTCTTTAATGTAAAAACTAAGCTCTTGTTTCAGCTGCATAGGGTATGTTTTTAATTTTTTTTCTGTGAATTAAATACTTGAAATGGGTTTTTGCACTACAGCTTTGTGAATTCTCAAAATGATCAACAAACAACATGACACTAACAGAACTAACCTTCAAGTATTTTCTTCTTCTCATCTTTTTTTGAGGAATATGGGGGCTTTACAAAGGCAGCAAAAGCAACAACAGACAAGCTTAGTAAGATTTATGACATAGGAGGACTGAAATCGCTGCAGCTCATAAAAAGATAGATACTTTTCTCCAGGCCTCAAAACAGTACCAACAGCTCCTCACCATCTGCTGGTGTTCTCCACTCCAAAGGCTGGAATCACGACTCCCAGCTCAGGTACCACTGACAAAGGCACAAACGTACCAGAACTGCCAAGAGCACTTTCCCAGGAACTTAAAACAGCTTTCAAACCTCTGTGCAGTTCTCTTAGCCCAGCTCTGGATCAGGCTGTTGTGTCCTCACAGTAAAACAATTAAAAAATAAATCACATAGGAAAGGAGATGGAAGCAGCAAACTCTTCTAGAGCTCTGTACAAATGAAGCCAGGTTAACAATACTATTACACATGACTTCTTGGGTCCCAAAGTAGGGAAAAAAAACCCTATTACAAATGGCTTTTGGTCCAATTACAATAATTTAACAAGAGCACACTGAGAAGCTGCAGAATCTTCAGTGTTTCAGCACATGGAGAGCTAAGTTTTAATTTCTGCACACGTAACCCAAGGACACTAAAAGGAGTCTTGTCTTAATTCAACTCAGTTCTGCATGTCCTTCTCGTTTGAGTAGGTGTGCATGGGATCCCCCACCAAACAACAGGTGAACTGCCCTTGGCTGTGTGAAGTGTCAGTGTTTAAAGAGAGGCTGTGAGAAGGGAGGGAACAGAGACTGCAAGTTTAGGTTTCACAGTCCCCAAAATCTACCTTTAGTTTCAAATTCATTCATTTCTCTACAAAACAATGCTATTTATCATTGGAGGATGGTTGTTTCAAGTGCCATCCAGAGCAGCTGAAAGTTCCTACAGAAGGAAAAAACGTTTTGTATTTAATATTTATCACTCTCTCTCGCTCTCTCATTTTCCTAAACTGCAGACTCCAAACCAGTGAAAGGTCTGGTTGGTTGGTTGGTGTGGAGCTTGGTGGTTTTTTTCTTCCCCTCCTTTTCTTTAAGAAAGTCAGTTCCATATTTTAGCCTGCACAATCCCTGCTTAACCAAGGGCAGGGCTAGACAGACTAGCCAGGGATGCTGCTGGAGCTATTTGAGATCTTGCATCTGGCAAATAAACGTACCCTGTACGTTTTTGTAATGAATCATCAGTGCACTCCCGCTAACCAAGCAGTAGAAGAAACGTCTACAAATCCTTCCCACTTCTCACCTCTGCTGACAAACCAGCCTGGTTTGGAAGTGCCAGGCAGCCCCCAGCTCTTCACCCTGTGCGGCCTCACAAACTCTGCCCCATCCAAAGGGACTGTAAGACAGCAGATGTACAGCCATGGGAACAGGACACTGAACACATTCCTTAATGTCACTGTAACCAGGGAATGCAACCCTGACAACAGTCATTTTCAGTTTAAGACTGAAGTTTTGTGCTAAATTTTGATTTAGATTCTCAACAGGGCTATTTTATATCCCTCGCAGGGAACACCTGCATATTTTAGAGGCACTTCTATGAAGACCAAACACCTGTTGCTATAATTTGGCTGTTCTAGGCCACCTGCTCCCCAACAAAAAGAACACACACTGTCTATTCCCTTCACTCTTTACAGCTGCACCACTCTGAAACCCCCAGGGCTCCACAGAAGTTCTTTTGCACTTGTGCTTGCTTTCAGCTGCAAAATGACCCCGTACCTTGGGAGAAGCTGCAGCTCTGCGAGAAGCCGTGGCCAGGGAGTGTTCCCAGCAGCAGTGAACCTCTGGCTACTTCAGTGTGTGGAGCCCAGCCGTGCTCCCCTGCCAAGGCACTGCAGGGGCTGGCCAGCCATGGAACACAAAGACAGATGGGAGGCTGGAGGCAGTCTCAGGGGACTGTGGAAAACAGAGTATTTGAGTCGCACAGAGACATCGACCTCTCTGGAGTTCACCTGGAATCTTCTAAAAGCACTCAGGGGTGTTAACAGGTGGGTTTTCTGGGCAGCTACTTAGTTGTACTTAACAAAGCTTCATGAACTCTGGAGTTCTTCTGGGCTCTGCAGAACACAGAACTAGCTCACAGGCAGCTTTGAGCATTAATAACTGAAATATGTAACCACATCCCTACGGACCCGGGAGGGCATGTAGGATAGGAGGGGGCACTGGACTTCTGGTGGAGATGAAGTCAGCTGTATCCTGTTGTTAGTGGGATGGAGTTATAGTGCACGCATCCAAGCCTGCAAGAGGTCCTGGAGGAACTGCCTCCTCTGTACCTGCCATTTCCTGTCAGGAGGTGAAACTGCGGCTGAGGAAGATTATGATGAATAAAATATCACTGAAATTGAAACTAAGAACTCTGAAGCATGCCCAAGTACTCACCAACACAGGACCTCCCTTTACCTGTTTTATAGCTAAAATATTCTCATTGAGGAAAGTTTTCTGGAACACTTGCTCACTCAGTAGTTCAAATGCAGTTCTGACCTTTGGACAGAACCTTGTTTAGCCTGGAAGAGACTGAGAGGAAACCTTATTGCTCCCTACAACTCCCTGAAAGGAGGCTGGAGTGAGGTGTGGGTTGGTCTCTTCTTCCAAGTAACTGGCAACAGGATGAGAGGAAACAGGCTTAAGTTGCACCTGAGGAGGTTTTGACTGGATCTTAGGAAGAATTTATTTCCTGCAAGAGTGGTGAGGCAGTGGACGAGGCTGCTCAGGGAGGTGGTGGAGTCACCATCCCTAAAGGAGTTTAAAAAAATCCATAGCTGTGGCACTTCAGGACATGGTTTAGTGGTCATGGTAGTGTTGGGTTGGTGACTGGACTTGATGATCCTAAAGATCTTTTGCAACTTTAATGATTCTGTGATTCTCTGACAGTGTCCTGAGATGGGGTGGGAGTGGTGACACACCATGCCTGGCTGGGCTGGAGTTACCCAAAGTCACCAACACAACTCTTCTTGTGCAACATGAGCAATCTTCTGAAATGCAACTGCTCAAGGGAAAATACGTTTCAACTCAGGCAGCCACAAACACGTCTGTGCGCTGCTGCGGCGGCTGCAGTGACACTGTGGGTGGCAGGACAGACCGCTGCAAGCTCCACTATCACCAAGAACCTTCTTCACTTGGGCAGAGCACACGCTTCACACTTCACGCTCAGCGGGCCTGGGAGGCTCGCAGCAGTCGGTCCTTTGCCATTACAGCTGGTTGTGCAGGGCGCCTCAGGAGCCTGGTTACATCAATCTAATCCTTAACATCAAGTCTTCTTTCATTTTCGCTTCTGGGCCCATTTAGGACATTCCCATTCCGACAGCTTGGAAGGTGTTATAAATCAAAAGCCTCGACGTTTAGATAAGATCAGTTGTTATAAAGATCTGGTTCATAATCTGGATACCAAGCCACCACAAAGGAAACCAATAAACAGTGTAACAGCACAGATAATAGACTGGTCACTGTTTTCCCAACTCAACCACTTACATAGCTACCAACACAATGATGTGTCAGCAGTGGTCCCAGGAGCAAAGAAATGAGCTGCTGAAAGAGTGCAGCACAGCTCTGTGATGTGCTGCGAGTGATTTAATGAGGGACTGTCACAGAAACTCAGCAGCCTATGTTTGCTAAACACCGAATCTCAGAAACATGTTCACATCAGCGATGGCTGAGGAGAAATCTAGGTGCTCTTCATCCCATCTTTATTAAAACAAAAAACACTTCAGAATTGCCCCCCCCTCCATTTTAAGTTTGCTTATTCTTTGCTTAAATATTGGCATGTACTTCCCAGATTTTATATCACACCTCATTCTTCTAAATACATTTAAATTATGGATTTGAAGTTTCACAGAACAGCATTCTTTAAAAAAAGCTGGTACTTGGCTTAACTGGCCAACCCAGACACAAAATAATTGTTATTCTAAAAGGAGCTTAGCCTCAGGAATAAGGTTTATCTATCAAGTATTATCTAACAGCAAAGGATGTAAATTCTAGTCAGCTCAATATCAACCTATACTTCCCCTCAGATCTAGTGAGAGAAATTCAAACAGACTAGCAGAAGTTGTATCCCACATGTCACTCCCCAAACCCACCCATCTGTGGAGGGGAAGTGCGGTAGGGAATGGCAATTACTCCTTCTTTATCCTCCAAAAACTTCTCCCTTTGCTAAGGCATCAAGGATGAACTTTTTCATTTGTTTGACAATTTGAATTTCAATTGCATTTACCAAAAGTAAATCCTGTTTAACAAGTGGTTTCTTCTCATTCCTGAATGCAGCCCAATAGAACAATATTAGAAACTCAAATTAACTCATTCACATTCTTTCTCACACGGCTCATTAAAACCTATCAATGGCTTTACAAAGGTTTACTGGACTTAAAACATGTTTAGTCCCCATTTCCCCCAATTTATGCTGCAGAGGTACAAGGCCCACTTACTTCTCTCTTTCAAACAAGCCAGTGGCTAGAAAACATGTGACAATGCCATGGGCACGACCAAGTTTGCATTCCAAAGCCCGAGAGTTTTGGCTTCCGCTTCCCCTCAGGTGAGGCATACAGCAGTCACCAGAATTTTAAGAGACAATGGTAACTCAGCTGTTCTCTCTGCAACTCAAAGAAATTTCATATTGGTGAAGCTCTTACCTCTTCTTTTTGGTGATAATGAGGACATCATTGAAGAGGAAGAAGTAGACCTGCTGTTTAGAAGTTCTTTTAGAAAAGAGCCCGGTGTCTTCTACGTATGCTGTTAGTTCACCCCTTTTCACTAACCATCGTGAAGAGGAAACCAATGGAAATGGCTAAAAAGCAAAAAAAATAACATTTTAAGCCTTCAAAAGTAGAGATTTTTAAAAATCAGGTAATGGAGTGCTATATATTTGGGAAAAAAATGCTTGAATAAACTCAAGGCTCAGGGATAACGAAGATAAGCACAAAACAGGCTACCAAGGTTTATGGTATTGTCACCATTCATGTAACACACAAGTAAGAACCTGCAAGTCCTTGAGACTCACTCACATGTGATGTAGCTGCTCACCTACGCTAACCAGCCCTGCCTGGTCACTCTTGGGATGTAACAGCCTGGGAGAGATCGCCTAAGGAAATGAAAGATAAAAGGACCCTTTTCTAGAAACACTGAGTTGCTGTAGAGTGAGCAAACATTCTTTAAGCAAGTATGAACATGGGATTTTCCTCTAAGTACCTCACAGCTCTTCTACCTTCACCTGTTTAGGTGGGAGAAGAGCTTCACCCGCTCATCTCAAGCCCCAGGGCTGCTGCTCACTTTGTCTCACCTCCCGGAGGCCAGCTAAAGCGACGGTCTGCTTGTCTGATAGTGCATTCTGTAGCACACAGACTAGAACACTTGTGAACACCTTTAACGGGGTGTATGAGCTCCTCTAGACCAGAGGCTCATGGTGTGTGCACGTGTCACTGCTTCCTTGGAAAGTCAGTCCGGTTTGGGTAAACCTTCATCCCCCAGCCTACGAGGGGTTGGCAGAACCATCCTTCCAAAGGAAATCACTGTTCCAAACACATTTTTGTCCCGGGACAGCAGGAAGGGAAGTTTCCCACATACCTGCTGTTCTCATTACAAGCTCTTAAAATATCGCCCAGTTACCTGTCTGCTGTCACAGCTTTATTTAAGGTGGATAATTAAGGATGCCACAGCTCCTCCTACTCTTCACCCAGATGATGTAGTTGAACTCTATGTTGGGCAGGGCAGGATCTCCACTTCTCTCTAAGGTGAGAACTAAAACCTGCAACCACTGCAGCAAGCCATAGAGGACCATGCTTATTAATCTAAATTATTCCCAACAGTGGGAGAAACAGACACCATAGAAGGAAGACACCTTTTTGTTTCTCTGCGCCATGAACATGAAGGGAGACTCGAGACTGCACATCCTGTCTTACAAAGAACAGATCCTCTCTGAAGCTGTCCCATGACATCGGGTGCCAGAAGGATGAAGGGCCCCAGGTGAAATAGTCAGATTTGTGCTAAATAGTCAGATTTGTGCTTCTGCTTCCACTGGAACTCGCTTTCTGCTTATCAATACTCCCAACTTCCTTCGCTGCTGTTCAAATTCATTATCAGTCTTGCTTATTAGGCTAACAAAGACATGCTCTTTATTTTACCTCCCCCCTCATTTAAAGCACCTTTCACATGCTTGTAAAAATATATTTCTTCATTGAGTTTGTCAGCTGCCACCTTCACCCTACATGGGCTGCATTTTTAGATCTTTTAATCTGTCCAGCTGCCCTCTGCTGAGCTAACTTGAGCGTGCCAATACTTGCCCCATTTATGGCAAAACCAAAATACAGCATAAAAAATTAACTCTGCAATTTTATGCATGGCCACCCCTTCGGTTTTGAGGTATGATTTTACAGCAATTCCAACATAGCACATGACAATATTTTTCCAAAGGTGCTTTTTCTGCCAGCACACAGCAGCACAGACCTCTCCTCCTCCTGCTTGGAGCAGATGAAGCTGCTCAAAAATCATCAAATGCAGCAGCACTCTGAACTACATCAAGTTATTAATAATTAGAGAGACCTGAAACTTTTCACTTTCCCTGGACTGACGCAGGTCCCAGCAGAACCAGAACAGGCAGTGATGACTGTCCACCCTGCCCGGACTGGAGCACAGACACCCATCAGCACAGAGCCTTCACTACACAAATACCTTAGTTTATTAAATGCATTTTCTACCATATTCTCCAATCTGGACATGAAGAATTTTGTTTCAAATATATATTTTGTAAGTAGAATTTAATCCTGGTCTGTTAGTGAACCAGAGTAAATCAATCTTATTATAAATCACTGTAGCTTCAGGTCATTAACTGATATTTGGCACTCAGGTCAGGTCAGCAGCTAACAGACTTCTGTCAGTCCAACTCTGTTGCTTTCTCCTAGGACTGTATCCTGTGATTTTTCTTATGGATGGTCCTTTCCTTAAAGACACTTCATTAAACCCCCCAGGCTGTGACAGGCCCCTCAGCTCAGGGCTCAGAGGCAACACTCCCAGAGGAACTCCTGAGCTGCATCACTGACATCAAACCAAGTTCTCTATCAACACTTGGCTTGGAAACATTTGCCACACTTTCAGTCAAAGCTCTGCTGGTTCAGTACCATCGAGTACCATGATAATTTAAAAAAAAAAAACAAACAAAAAAAAGGGCTTTTCCATTTCCTGAAATGCAGTAACAGCCCATGTGACAGCTGGGGAACATGAACCATCGGCCACGCCCTCAGTTACACCACCATACTTTTGGTGACTTCGCAAAACAGAAAGACTTTAGATGCTCCTTGAACACAGAAGTCACAAACATGTTTGTTCATGAAGACAAAAGGACTTTTGCAGAAAAACACAATTTAAAAATCCAAAAGATAAGTTTAAGAATAAGAACTTCTGAACCTTAATTAAAAATTAATTTTGACATTTAGCTATGTACAAAAGTGATAAGAGCATTTGAGTAGCTTCTCTTGTACTCCAGGAAATATTCTACAGCCGTATCTAACAAAATAACATGCAAAAATCTCAAATCCCTGAGACTGATCCAGAACAGAAATAGTTTCCCCAATTTATACTGGCTATGAAACAGAATTACGGCACCACGGTAACCGTTTTACAGACAAAAAGTACTTTAAAAACTTCTATTTAAGGATGAACTAAAAATTAATCTGTACTCCAAGTCAGTTCATCATGTTTCCCTGACGGACTGTACTCCAGAGGCAGCTTGTTTTTAGTGCAGTGTTAATTTTTCTGTAGTTGTCAAAAGAGTACATCGTATGCACCATCTCCACTCTGCACAAAACAGGCTGTCAGGACTCAAAAACGCACTGAAACGGGGCCAGCGCTGTCCTTCACAGGCCAGCTGGCCTGCTCTCAAACCACAGAGACGCTCTAAACCACTAAATGGTTATATTTAAGATGCACAAAGGAAAAAAGACTCGCATTAAAAGAACTGCAGAAAAAAAAAAATCCCTGAAGTTGCTGTGACTGCCATGGAACCTGGAGAGCAGCAAGCTACAGTGTGCAGGAGAAGGACTGCACAGGGCCTCGCTGGGCAGGGAGAGCACACACGCCACGGGAGCACCTGCATGCCACTGGCCAGTCCTGTAGCTGCTGAAGCTCGGGATGGAACCATAAAGCCCAAGGACTTCAGGCTGTCCAAAACTCTACTTCATACTAACCAAAGACGTGAGACTTATCACCATTGTTAGCAAATGTAGTGATGTCACTTGTTCAAAAGTGTTTTATTTCTTTATTATTATTGTTCTAATTAGATATTATGATTGTTTTCAGTCTTTAGCAAAAATCTGGAAAAAAAAAAAAAACCTTAGATAAATTGAGAAACATCTTTTAAAAGACAACATTTCCTCAAAGGCTGATCAAGGTCCTTTAAAGAACTGTGTTTTTAAAAACATGAGCTTCTACTTGCTACACGGTATGCTAATAAAGAAAATATATCATTATCACAAAAGCATAGTCATTATGTAACAGCATCCTCATACCTTGATTTTAAATTCCAGTTGGGAGTTAATGGTGTACATCATTTCTGTCCTCTCCATTTTCCGAGCGCCTTCATTGCACAAACGCACTAGCTAGAAACAGGACATTTATGTAACAATGCATTATTAAAATAACCCTGCACTCAGGCCTCACGGTACAAACTTCTGCTCCCGCACAAAACGCGCTCCCCAGCCAAGCACCTTCCAGACCAACAGGTGACTGCGAGGCGCTCCCGCCCAGCCGCAGCAGCTCCGCCGTGTCCCAGGGAAGGCTCTGCTGCAGCCGATGCTCCGCGTGTCACAGGAGCTGTGCTGCGGTGCCGGGGACGCCTGAGCACGGAGCGGGGAGAGCAAGACACCCGGCAGCTGGGAAGACACGGCCCCGGGGCTCCCAGCCACCAGTGGGGCTCGCTCCGAGCACAGCTGAGCCCCTCACACACCACCCAGCTCCTGCGGGAAACCCAGCCGTCCTGGCAGCAGCAGTGCTGCCGAGTTAGAGTATCTTTCAAAGTGACAGTAATTTAGGCATAAAACAAATCCCTGGTGGTCTTTCTTAAATAAAACAATGTAGAGTGTTTATGCTTCAGTGTTCTTCTTCTTTGCATTATTTATGCATGGAAAACGACTATTTTTCCCTTAAAGCAGAGAAGGTTCAAGACCCAAGGTGATATCTAGCCCCAGCGTGCAGAGGAAGGTCTTATTTTAATAGGGAATGCCCAGCACTTCATATTCCACCACAATCTATGAGACACTACAGTTTCTGAATTTCTGAGATCCTGGAGGCAAAGAATATCCAGTCCTTAGACCCCCAGGTTTTCTTTTCACACCACAATGTCCTGTTTTAGAGAGTTGTTTATATTAAACAGATAGACTGGAATTTCCCACCAAATGGAAGGAACCAGAATTTATCATACAAGTCAGTGCTGTTGATACGTACAAACAGCATACAGAAAATGGACTGACTTGTGCTGCACTCTTCTTCCACCACTGACTCCTGGAAAAAAAAAACTACAACTACAGGAGAAGAGAACAACTGACAATTGACAGAGGGTGACCTGGTTCACTAAGAGCACATGGAACACACGTTTGCTTAGAAGATTCCAGTTTTCCCTTCATCAGGCAGCGCCGTCCCTGGCACTACACCCACCACTCATGCAGCTTTCTGCACACAGAATGAATGTGTCCAGCTACACAGTGAACAAAATGACTAATAAACATGAAAATTAATTCTCAAGCAACTAACAAATCCCAAAAGCAGCCATTTCTCATGGTGGCTTTTTGAATGACAAACACATGCAATTCAAGAAGGAAAATAGTCAAACAAAGCAGAAAAAAAAAATTCTGCATCCAGATTACATTTTAAAGAACACACCTTGCTCACTTCTTTCAGAGCTTGCTTGCAGTTCTCATATTTTGATGAATCCTTTGGAGTTTTCTGACAAATAGTCTGAAATAAAACATCAGTTACTTCAGGAGACTAAGCAACACAGACTGTAACAAATACAGAATTGGATATATACAATAACTGAAACCAAAGGGCTGAAGCCCCAGCTGTGGGCTGGGGTAAATGAGGGAACGCGAGCTCCCTTCTCCAGAGTGCTCTGTCACACCAAGGAGCGCCCCTCTGCTCTCAGAACCATTTTGACTCTTTATAGCACAATTTCTCTATTAGAATGTCTCACTATGTAACTTTTGAATGGAGGATCAGGAGCAGAGGTACCAGTCACAGTAAACAAACAAATGCTCCAGTTCCTTATAACAGAGCAGCATCTACAGCCCAGTACCTGTAGAGCTAAGAAGATACAAAGAGACTGGAATGAACGAGGAATTGAATATGGAAGAATGTAAACGTCAAAAGAACAGCATCGAGGAAAAACAGAAAAATAACTCTGTTCTCACATCCATCAGTAAGGGCAGACGAGTAACTCTCTGCATGGGAAGAATGAGGAACGAGATCATTGGTAAATTCCGGCAATCTTCATGGGACTCGATCCGTGACAACACCTCTTTAAATGCTGGATTGGTGGCTCTGAGGGAAGAAGAGGAGAGAATGAAGCGGTTTCACTGAAGACTTGTGGAAGTTGCTAGATTTTAAATAAATTATTATTTTAACAGTGAATCACAGAATCCTAGGTTGGAATGGATATCAAGGATCATTTGGCCCAACCTTTCTCAGCAAAAAAAGTATGATTTGAGGGAGTCACATCAATGAAGCCTTCAGCTTTACTACTTAGATGTGCAAGTCCAGTGTTGACATGCAGAAAGCTCAAGTTGTGCCCCCTGAGGATGTGGGTGCAGACAGGCTCAGGCAGAGCGCACAAGGAAACTGCTGCAGCTGGAAGCTAGAGCTTTAGCACCATGTACTGCAGCCTGCCACGCGCTCCTACTACAAAGGGGGTGATTTTACAATCCTATTTTAAAATCAGTCCTTACAGTAACTTCTGCAGTGTCCGCTGCTGGTAGACCTCGTTGGTGCAGTATTTTACATACGGATCAAATGTTGAAGAAGAATGCTTCTCAACTATATCACTAATATCATCAATAAAGATGTTGTTCTGATGTCTCGCTTCAAGCTCTTTGAAGAACCTGTGACAAAAGAAAATAAATTACTCAGTTTTACAAAAACGTGCAGATTTTCTCTGACTATGTTCACCTGACACACCCATGACTTTCATAAGCTAAGGACAACTGGAACAGCCTGCAGCAGGGTGAGCTCATCTCTCCTTTGGCAAAGCAGCCAGGTAAATCTTCACGCGACACAAGTCAAAGGCTGCTGCTGTCACCTGGCAGAGCTCCGCAAAAGCAGCACTGGCAAAGGTACTTCCCATCCTCTGGCTGCCAGAACTGAAACACCATCACCGATCTGGTTAGACTGGAATTTCCAGAAACGGGGTGGGAAAAGAAATGAAACAATTTCAAGCACACATTAAAACATTTCCTCTTGTAATGAAGCAAGTACTATAGCAGAAACGCTCAGTGAAATGGAGTTGTGTGTGAACTGCTAAACTAAGAACAAAAACGTACCTTACAGGCTGAGCTGGATGAGGTGCTCATGCACCATATACTTCTCAGTGCACCACCGAAACCAAACATGTTGGAAACGATTAAAATGGGAACAGAAACCAAAATCTTGATCTGACTTTTTCCCCTAAAAAATACTTGTTCTGAGAACATGCCTGTTTTTCATCCTCTGTTCCCGATGTAGGTCCCCTCTGGCCTCTGAAAGCTTTCCACTCCTCCTCACATTTCTGATTTTTCCAGAAAACAAAAGCCATTATTCCCATGATGCTTGTTAGCAGTATCTTACTGATTGGTGTGCAGGAACTCACACACATCAGCTATTGCAGCTCATCAGAATTATCTGCACTGACACACTGACATCAGGAGAATCCTTAAAAATCTAGAAGTTGCTGAAAACCTCTCGTGTACTAGTCTTGCCTGCAGACTTTATAGAAGATGATAAACTAGAATCCTGAACTCTTTGGAGTAAACCAGCTAATAAAAGATTTCTCAGCTAAGAAAGGAAAAATTTCAAAGGAAATACTTGCAACATATGAACTCACATCAAGTTACAATATTTTGAAACTTAATAAATGGCTGAAAGAAATATTTTCTCATTACTAACACTGGCTCTTCAAAATCAGCCACCTTGCAGCATTTCATTTTCTTAAGTGCACCACCAATGTTCTCCATAGTCTGTTTTAGAAACAAACCTCAATCACGTAAGAGAAGAACAGGATGAACAGAGATTTATCCTGCAAGTGTTTAACAACACACATTAACTAACATTAAGACATTTTTTCAGGTGTGCTATAAGAATCTGCCTGAATTGAGAGGTTCACAGATTCTCACCCTGTCACTCACACAGAAGGATCAAGGGTTTGCGGTTTTGTTGTTGTGCTTTTGCATTTTTGGTTGGTTGTTTATTTCAGAGTTCTGACACATTACCTGCAGATTGAACAGACTGACATATATCAGTGTTACCATTTAGTGAAAACAGGCCGCTGCCTGCAGATCCATCTGACGCTGTCTCCTTCAGCGCCCGGGTTCCTCCTCACTCTTCCCCTTTCAGGGGTGCAGCAGGATTGTTTAATAGCATTGCCATTTTGCAAGGCAGTGGCCTCCAGCATCCTCCATCCACCCATCTTATTTCACAGCACAAAATGTTTCAAGTTGTCACTGACTTGAACTATGCTGCGTATTTGGGTTTTTAGTATCAAGACCACAACACACAAAGCTTCTGAGAGATCTCACACAATACAAGGACAACTACTGTAGTTCATGGTTGTTCATGTTCATGAAATGTCACTGGGGTCCCAGAAGGTGGAGGTGGAAACTCTCCAAGTCACACAGCTACAGTTTCCCATGTACCACAACAGCCAAATTTGAACTGCTGACCACCATGAACTGCAGACAACTGGAACTCATTTCTACTCTACTTAGACATGTTTATAGTTGGGAGAACTTCTCAGCACGCTGCCAATTTACTTTCCTCAGGAAACAAGGAAATAACAACACTTCTTCCTGCTGTATGTTATGGCACATTGACAAGGTGTTGGGGCCTGCCCAGTGGACTGGAATTTCCACTTTTAGGATTTATCTGGTGCTTCATCAATGACATCAGTCACAGCCACTGTTAAGGAACAGCACAAATCTTGGATAGAAGAAGATTTAAACAAAAGAAAAAGAAGAATAAAGAGAAGGGCCAAGAGCAGCAGCACATTCAGGTCCCATTCCCCACAACATGTACTATAAGAAATAGTACCTCTGGAAATCACACATAGGAGTTTGAATCAAAGGTGTCTTTTTTGCATCCAATCTGCTAATTACTATATAGCAGACACATCATAAAAACGTTTTACTTAAAATCTTTAGACAGACTCTGTCATAAAGATCAGCACTGAATGATTGAGTGACCCTATTCAATGTAACCAACCCTGAATGAAGTGTACAGTGTGACTGGCTTTTTTTGCTTAACACCAGAAGGATTTAATGCATTTGTTTCTGCTAAACCTGGAATTCTTCTGATTAAAGTTAGCTCTGATTAAGAGAAAACTAAACAGCACCATAAGACAGCATCTGATTTCCCTCATCTTGCCCTTATGTTCCTTAAAAGAAACGTCCGGTTTGTCACAGTCTCAAACTCCCCCTCCCCTACAGGCTTTGTGCCAAATGGAGACATGCAGCTTTCATTCATTTCCCGTTTGCTACTTTTGATAGCACAAAACCTGGAAACAGGAGAGAATGCAGCCTGCCCTGTCTTCATGACAAGAGTTTCCTCCTTCAAAGTTCTGGTGGCTGTGGTTAAGGGTCTTCCCCTGTCTTCAGGCAGCTCATTAACAAGCTGGTTATCACCATCAGCAACAACATCCCAATACTTGCTCAGGCAATTTTCTTAAGCTATTTTTTCCTACTCATTGGCACTTCTTTACTCAATGACTAACATCCACAACTTTCTCAAAAAGCTCTAGTTAATTCAGCTGTACAAACACAAACCCAGTGGTACACACACGTTACCAAGTGTTTTCTACAATTCAGCTTGACAAGGCCTGAACCATGACTCAGCTAGAACTGCAGAACTGCCATCAGCAGAGTGCTGCTTCAACGGATGCCATGAATCAGCGTGGTCAACACTTCTCAACATTTACTCTCACTTCACCCCTAGATAAAGATACTAAGCAGGACTTACATTCATACTAATACTCTACGCTGCTATATGGATTTTACAAAATTAGATTGCACTGGATCAAAAAAGTTTCCACAGGCAGTTAAAAGAGATCTTATCTAGGTCAAATCTGAGTTAGAAAAACACTTCTCTTAGGGATAAAAAACTGATTACGGAATCAGTTATTATCCAGGAGAAAAACCCATACAGGATCCAACAACAGTGCAGAAAAGGAATATGCAGAAAGGCTGGAGGTACCCCAAAAAATCTGAATAGATTATTTACATGAAGGGTTGCTACAGGAGACAAGCGATAGGTTACTCTGGCGAGCAAGACTGGGAAAGGGTCTGTGGAAGATATGTCTGAAACAGAAGTAAACGTGAAACACCAGAAGTCACCAGAACCAATTGATCAGGACCCAAGAGAGCTAAAAGTGGAAAAGAAATTCTGATAGTCACTAGAAGATCATTTTATTCTGTTTGCAAACACAACAGACCACACTCAACATCATTACAGGGCTGGGGAGAGGAGCAGACGGTTAAGACATCACATTTCGTACACGGGTTACGCAGTCATAGAATGCAAACTGGAACAACTCTCAGCAAGCCTACTCACAAGTAACTGGCTGAATGATAAGCCAGTTGCCTTTTCAACTACTTAGAGCTTTCTGGCAGAAATCCAGACAATACAAAGGCCATGGCAACCCTGCCAATATATTCTGTTACAGCGAGATTCCTGAGCCAGTGGGTAAGTGCTCATAGCATCCAGCTCAATGGTATGCATTTCAGGAACACACATATTGATTCACCCAATTAATACCCACCGACAAATGAAACCACAAAGAACACTCAGTGGCACTTGAAACGTCAATCTTTTTGATGAATTATGAAGACATCACAACAGGAGTCTCCATGTTAAAAACCCTTCCCAAGCTGAACGAAGTCATGCTTTTAACACCGCTGAGAAGCGGGGTGCTTCTGCCTGTTGTTTCAAGCCTGAAAAGTCACCTACATATTCATTCATCACAGAACAAAGTGACCTCTTGGTGTCACAAACAATGAATTTATAAACCATTCTGTGAAGCTTTCTGGCAACAGGGATGAGGCTACTCCCACGTAACACACTTCCTAGAATGGCCACGTGAGCAAACACAGCCAGCAAGGACAGTGTTTCTGTCTCCTCTGACAGAGGAGAAGGACCTGACTCGTAACTTGTCGCACGCTCTAGAAACCCAGGCTGTCACCTGCGACCCCCACCTTCTCAATAACCCACCGTTAGCACCGGCAAATCCTGAATGTTGTTAACACGTGCAAGAGAATTAATCGTTCTGTGTATCTGGGAAGAAATTTCTGTTAATATAAAAATACAAATGGTACAAACACATAAATCAATCATCGCTTAGTCTGAGGGAAGTGCATCAGCCAGGGAATCTCCACCACAGGCTAGAAGTAACTCTGATTTAGGGTACACCAAGGAAACTCTCCAGAGAGAGTCTTGAATCTGTCAATTCCTTTCAGCTGACAAATGCCCCCACTGGGCTCCTGCCCCGGTGGCTCCTGGCAGCCCCACACCAGCAGCCAGCTGCCAGCAGGCCCAGGTGAGGCCCTCGCCAGGGCAACCATGCCAAGCTAGCTAGCGCCCAGCTTCCCACACTGCACAGGACTGCTTCTCCATAAATCACGTCTGCACACACCCCCTCCATACTGACCCAGCCCCAGGAGCCACAGGATGATGAGCAGGACAGCAAACACCACGCTGGGGCAGGCAGGATTTCCTGGGTTCCAACACTGCACAGACCGACCTCGCTGCTGTCCAGAGGAACGGGGAGCAACACAACGCAGCTCATCTGTGTGCAGTGCCAGCTTTCAGCCCGGGGATCTGAGGCTTAAAATCTCACTGGAACAAAGCACGCTGACCCCACGGTACAGGAGAGGAGCCAAGGGACAGACATACATCCTCCCACTGTGACAGCCTCGCCAAACATGGGTATTTCTAGACTTGCTAAGAACTTGGTGCCCTTTCAAGGCTATACTTTTTTAATGCACAAAGGGCAACAATTTCAGTTCTCTGAAACCAGACTGAAAGCTCACTGCTCACTGAAAGCCTTCACCAAGAACACTGCTTCCTCCTTCCCTATCAGTCTGTGCGAGGAAAGCAGACTCAAGTTCAATAGCTGCTGAACACCCACCCACTTTACTACCGAAGGAATATGCACACACACAAAATACACTTTCCTCTTTTGTGTTTTGGTTGTGGGCTTTGGTGGTTCCCCCCGATCTTCCAAAAACTGAGCAACAGAATACTGCATTCTCTAAAAGTAATGTTTTTATTGCCTAGTTAACTGATTCAATACACACACTTCTTAAATGAATAGAAGGACTGTAATTTTCTACAGAAAAAGATGAAGCTGCATCATTTAAAGTATGTTGTTAAGCAGTGAAATATTAACCTAACTTACAAAAAAGTACTCCAAGTAAGCTTACTTGGTTCCTAACATATATTCACGGAAACAAAAATAAATTAAGATACTCAGAGAAGATGTTAATCTACCTCACAAACCCAAGTGTTTATAAACAGTCAGAACCCTTCAAAATATTTTTTGTTAATGTCTTTTTCTGCTAATGCTGATATTCTGACACGCCATCAGCTTTTCACCTTTTGCTGTCTGAACAGCAGAGAGAAGCAAAATGTTAAAGCTTTCCCTTCTCCAATAAATTTGGTGATTTGACCTGTCAGACCAATTGTTCTTGAAGACATTTCACTGATCTCCCTGTCCCTCCTCTTTCCCAAGCCAGGCTCTTGGGAACCTGACCTCTCTGCACCACAGCGCGGGACTATACTGATGTTCAGTTGTTCTGACTGATGAGATTGACTGGGCTGTTCTCAGACCACACAAGCTCCTCCCTCAGAACAGGAAGGCCTGCAACACCCCCACCAGCTCCCCTCCCCACCCAACAGCTCCCACTGCTCAGGCTGCAGTTCTGTCCTATCAGTTCTGAACTCACGTATTACACATACGAGCAAACAGGCAATAAAAGACTTAAGAGCTTTCTGAAGCCACCTTACCAGATGTTGTCATACACAAACACACTGCAGAGTGCACAAATTACTCAGATCAACTCTTCTTTATTAGAGATGTTCCAATGAGCTCCCAAAAGCAGAGACGGACTTTGCTGTCTGTGTTCTGCTTTTAACAAAGGCAGCTTTGTTCTGTTAGAAATGGCCTTGCCGTGCATTAGAAGCCTATCTTGGCGCTTCTGCAGTTTCCACTGAACAAGTCAAAGTTACTAGATACAAGATTTAAGCAATTCTGACTAAAGATAGTATTTTTATCAGTTCACATTCTTCAGCTCACCAAACTTTTGACTGATCCACCAAAACTACAGATAACTACAATCATACTCAGATTTTATATTTTTAAAGTAAAGGCTGCTTAAAATATAGCATCATAAGACAGAGGCTCAATTTTATTATGGTTTTATAACAATAAGATGGATTTTGCTAACTTGAAAGATCTTGAAAATGGGAAGCAACAGTCTGGAGATACTAAGAAAGAGATTTCTCTTTTAAAATCACTTTCATTGTTTGCAAAAATGGGGTTGTAGAAAGCTAGCAGAAAGTTTTATTGCAGTTTAACAGTACTGCATAACTCAGGAAACAAAATATGTTTTCATTTAAGTTTAAAAAGGAGTTATGAATCCTGTTTTTACTCCAAGTTATAAAAACACAAGTTCTTAAACCATTAGACTTTCCAGACAAGAAAGAATATGATTATAATTTCAAGCTAATGTGGTATTTTCCATTCTCACCACCCCACTTTGAATACTTAAATCAAAAATCTTGTACGAATTTCCCTAAAAATGTTGCTCTCCTCACCTCTGCCTTAAATACGTTAAATAAGACATAATTGGATTTAATGATTTAGAAGGTTTATTCAACACAGGGAAAAACTCAAGTGCACGTATTTGCATTGTTATGCTAGTGCAGTCAGCTGGGTCTTATAGAAACAACCCATAGAAGGCTACAGAGTAATTAGTTAATTGATTTCTATTAAGCCATCTATAAAAAGATGGCAATACCCTCTAATATACCATGGTTCTGTGACACCAACAAAAAAAAATGTCTAGCAAAAAAAATGGGCTACATGATCCTTTACTTTTACAATTCACATTTCACATATGGTGAAGCCTTTAAAAAGTACTGATTCCTGAAAAAAGGGCTCTGACAAGCTGCACTCCCTGACAGCTCTCGCTCCTGGGCAGCTGAGGATTCAGACAACACCCAACTGCTGGCAAAAAGTCCTTGACCGTGACAGAGAAAACCAAAAGATAACAAGGGGATGGAGAAATGAAGGTATACCAAACACATCAAATATACACCTATTGTATTGCTCCTAAATTAGGTTTGCACTTGACTCACCCAGTACATTAGACTCTCTCACAACATATACTCCATGAAACAAAACCTTATTACTGCATAAACTTCAGAAGACAAAGTCCAACTGCTGCATAACAGGCATAAAATTCCACAGACTTCATGGGTCGACAGAGAAATAGAAACCAAGAAAAGCCATTACCATAACGGGGAACATGAAACTCAAGAAGTTCCACAAAGGTAAATGTGGGTTTAATGCTAAAGAATTCAGAACTTCACAATTTCTGCAAGAAAGAAACAAAGGAGTCAAAAGGAAAAGGAACAAACAAAAGAAAAATAGCTGAGACGGTGGGAAGGACTGACTCCAGAAATAATACTGCCCTGACAGACTCCTCAGGCAA